CCTCTTGATATATAGAATTACCTCTATATAAAAATAGTTAATATGAAGCTAATTTACATCAGATCTACTATGGAACCTAAGAATTATAGTACCATTAGAAGTATTTTAAAAAAAGAACAAGGTGAAAAAATTGCTCCTTATATTTTCAAAATAAATGATACTCAGACACTTGAAGCTTATCTAAGAAAAGAAAGGATTACCTATGAAATTTACCAAGAAGAAAGAAAAATAGTAAATGTTAAGAAAGCAAAATGAAAGTGTATTATTATCCAATAAAAAGCAGAAACATTTGGAAGAAAAATAATTTTATTATTACAATATTGATTTATTCTTTTTTACTACAAAGAAAATTTCCTTTATGCTTATCAATAAAAAAAAACGTTGTTTGAATTTTTGAACAAATTCTACTACATTCAAGGATATGTTTTATAAGTCTTTGTTTTTCTCTCATTGGCATTGAAGCAAGGTAAATAATCCTGCCTTGTATTAGAACATTATAAAAACATTGCTGATTCACTTAATTTTCAGGTAAAAAAATTCAAATAACAAATCCTTCTGATAATCATCATTATTTTGGTTTAAAAAACAAAAAAATAATCAATAAATATTTACACAATATTTTTCATCCATAATAACATTTTAAAAAAATGCTTACATTCAATAGTGAACTTTTTTGCGGATTATTAGTTGGACTCTTACTTGGTTTCTTATTTCACTATAAAATCAATTCTATATTATAAATCAAAAAATTGATCAAATAATCGATAAAATAGAACCAAGAAAAAGCCAATTCAAAAATATTCAAAAGAAATCGAACATCTATGGAAGGATTTCAAACAATTATTTGACAAAAAGACAGAATTGGATCCAAATTTTCATTTAATGAAATGGTCATTGGAATTCGTGAATTACTTGAAGGAAAAAAAGGTGTTGCTACTTCCACAATAAAAAATTTCTACCAACGAAAAACAAATCCTAGAAGGAAAACGATAGAAGCAATTCATGAGTGGGTCAAAAAGGAAAAGAAGAAAGAGGTGGAAAATGAAACTGAAGAAGATAATGAAAACAGAGAAAATATAAATATTAAATAATATTATTGATAATAATAAAAATAGTAGTAATAGTAAAAGTTGAATTCTTGTCAGAATGCCCAAAGAATAGGTGATATCTATAAATGACTTTGGGTCCGAGTATTTTCCTCCCATGCAAGTACTCTGACGATTTTTAACTTATATTTTTATAAATTATGTATTTTTCTATTATTAGCTGAATTAAAATAAAAATAATTTTGTCATTAAATCATTGTACATACATAAAAATAAATTCCAAGTCATGTGCTCACTAATTTATCATTGGTCCAAATTATTTATAATTGTAACAATTACGATCTAAATCAATAAAAAAAAAATTTTTTTAATTTGCAAAATGGCAACGTACCAAGAAATTAAAGAACAACTAAGCATTGCAGTCAAAAACCACGAAGAAACAAAGGAGGAGTTAAAGGAATGGAAAGGAATTTGGGGAGAGAGGCTGAACCAGTTGTTGGGAGGAGAGAAAGAAAAGCGTGATGTGGAGTTGTTTAATTACTTAAAATCAGAAAAAGAAAAGTTAGAGAAGAAGGTGGACGATTGGGGAGAGCAAGCAATGTACTTTCAAAAAAAATTAGCTGAGTTAAGTGAAGGAAAAGGTAATGAACAAATTGCATAAAAAAAATATACAAAAAATTATTTTTCGTTCATTCCATTTCGTTTATTTTTATTTGTTTTGGTGTACTGTTTATAACTTTGTTTTTTATTTATTTATTTTTTAGATGTGAACCAACATTGTAGTAAACGTCAAAAGATTGATGACAATGATGGTTAGTATCGATATTGTCAACAGGAAATGTTCTTTTGATAGAATGCAATTTGTAACTACAATTAATATTTGTTATAATAACTAATTTCTTATTATTATCAACAGTCCCTGAAAACATAAAGAAATTTTGGAGAGAATTTTGCGATGTAAAAATTATTATCAAGTTTCCAGAAAATATTGATACCACTTTTTATAAATCAGAAATATATTCTAAATATATAACAGTTGAAAAGGATCAAATTGAACTAAAAAAGGGAATTATGATAGACTCAGATGGCAACTTAATAAAAGATGATGGTACACAATTGCTGTTTAATGGTAGACCTTTAAGTTTCCCTTTCGAGCAAGAATGTTTGGAAGATGAAGCAATTACAATTTTAGGAGGTGGAGACAACACAAATTCACAAGAAAGTCTAAAAATTAGATGGACAAAATATCTTCATTTTACAACTCCATTAAATACATTTTCTTGTGAAAAGGGGCCTTATAATATGATGATACGGAAACATTATGTTCAGCTAATCGAAAAGATTGAAACTGATCGTTCTGTTAATGCAAAAGGTTGTGTTGTTATTGGGACACCTGGTATTGGGAAAACACATTTTGGGATATATTTTGCTTTTTACATAACCCAACATTATCCAGAAAATGATATAGTTTATGAATATGGAGAAGAAAAAGATGGAATTATTTATCATGTTAAACCAGATGGAACTGTAAAGAGAGTGAAAGACAGATTGATGTTACAGGACATACAGGACTCCTACTACATTGTTGATTCCATGAAACCAGCAATGTTCAATACAAAATATACACTTCTGGTCACAACACAAAAAAGCAAGCGATGGGAAGAGTTTGTGAAAAGATATCATATATATAAATACTATTCACCTGTTTGGACTGAGAAAGAAATTTGGGGTCTTTGGCATGAAAGCTATTCAAATATTCCAGAGTGTCAGATTCAAAAGCTAATGAATACATGGGGGTGTGTACCATGTGCAATTTTTGGACAAGAATTGGAAATTCTTGAAGTTGTCTCTCAATGTGACATTGAATCTTACCTTCAATCTAAAGAAGGTGATGAACTTATACACTATTCTGGCAAGGCCATACACATTTACCCTAACTCTGACTTTACCAAATATTCTTATCATGTTGCTTCAGAAGTAATGTTGCATGCTTTATACAACAAGTATTTGTCAAAATATGAGGATAGAATTGTTAAGCTAATTAAGGATTTTGCAGGTGGTGTCACCAGTCCAGTATCTGGCAGAATGTTTGAAATGCTAGCTCATGATTATTTAGCAAGAGGTGGTAAATTTAATGTAAAATGCTTGTCCAATGGTGCCAGGTCAGAAAGAAACTTTAGTCCTATGCAAAAAAACAAGTTTTGTACTCTAAGTGAAATAAAGTCTGGATGTTACAATTATCCTGAGCAGAGAAATCTGGAAGCTATTGATGCTCTTTTGCTTGATTATGGAAAAATACACTGTTTATATCAAATTACAATTTCAGAACATCATGATATTAAGGTAATTAACTAGTTCATATTTTTTTTTTAGGCATTATTTTAACCAATATTAACAGTGTACATTCATTTTGTGTAGGTAAATGGTCTCACAAAATTGAAAGGTCTTTTGCAAGGAATGCAAGATAATACACAAATTGAATTATATTTTGTTATCCCTGATATAGTTATACAAAAAAATGGGAATTCAATAAAACTGATTGATGTATTCACAGAACAAAATTATGTTACAAAGAATTCTACAATATTTACTGGCTGGAATCAAACTAATAAATGGATTAAAGATACTATAGTTCAATATGCACTTGAGATCAAATTGACTGCAACTAATTCATTGCTGAAATCTACCTTATAGTAAAAAAAAAAAAAAAAAAAACATGTTATGTAATAAGAGATTAAAATTGTAAGAATTTTTCATTAAACTCAAAATTTCATGATTAAATGTGAATTATGATGTTTAGATGTATATCTGCTGTAATAAAATAAATTACTCTTATCTTATTGGATTTAATATAAAAATAGCACATTCATTTATGTTTATATTTATAGTGATATCTGAACATTGTTTCTATGGTAAAAGTTATTCACTATCCATACCAAATTTATTAATAGAATAATATAAAAATTATTTGACAAATTGAACAATATTTGTAAACTTTAGCTGACTGTCAAGTTGCAAGTGACTAACACTAAGGATTAGTGCTGTAATCCAAAAAAGGAAAAAGAGTAGTTTCAAAAGTGGTCACAAAGGACTAAAGACAATGTGGACAAGAAAAACTGTTACAAGAATTGATTGAAGCCAGTAAGTATGAGTCTCCAACCCTTCATATTTTTTCAGTGCTGGGGATGAAAATACAATATTATAGATATTTATTTTTTAAACATTTTGTCCTTTGATTAGTCTTGTTCTTCTTACCCAGTGGTGCTACCAGTTTGTTTTATTTTTGATGATTTATTGGGGATTTCTCTTCATAAGTTAATAAATCAATTATCAAATATATATTCAATATTTATTACAAATTCATAAATTTAATTCCATTCCATCCACTTCATTTGTTACCAGAAAACTAACCTTAAATCTCATCAATTCTAAAATAATCAAAGGAACCTACAAAGTGAACATAAAATTATATATAGGGATAAGTGTATATGAAAAGTATTAACAAAAGTAATAAATATAATGGTTCTAATGAATATGAAAAGGCAATTATTTTTTTAGAAAAAGGATGTAATTGTGGTTGTTCTTCAGTGGTTCCCAAAGAAGAATTTGCAGAATTAAGGGAATCTTTTCAAGCTCTTTTCAAGTCTGAACAAGATATATTTCTAATGGCCCAACTTAAAGCCATGGATGGTGGATTAATAAGCACTAGTAGACGCCTTAAAAAGAAAACCAGATCTAATAAAAGAACTTTCTACCATTGGGATCACAATACACTTCTTTGTCAAGAAACTTATCTCAATATGTTAGGAATTGGCAGAACTTATTTTGAAAATATTAGAAATCATCTAATAAACAATGGTCTTCTACCAAGAATTCATGGTAATATTAAAAGAATGCCTCAATGGAAAACTAAAATGGTGATTGA